GCTGATATAGCCGCACCTAAAGCCACTGCCGCATTTGAGCGCATATATATATATATATATATATATATATATATATATATAGTGTATAACATACATGATAAGAAAACAGAAAGTTCATGTTTAGCTTTAACATATTCCATATCATTTAAGATTTAGCTCATTAAAACTCGTTAAATGTTATGTCTTAATGGGTCAACTTGTTGTACTTGTTTTTTTTTTTTTCTTTTTGAAAAACTTGTTGTACTTGTTAAAAATCAATTTAACTTGTTAAGATTAGCGTGTTAACTATGATTTCTGAATGTTAATTTATACTTTTATGAATATCATTGTATGTTATGAGTTGAATATTGGTTCTATTTTGTGGGATTAAATTGTAAATTTCTTGAAAGGATTTTTTTCAAAAAAATTTAAACGTATAGTATTAACTGATCTCATTTAAACATGTTATCTTGTCTATTTATTATGTCAATAATCCGTTCAAATATCATATTTATATTCGTATTCAAAATTTTAAATGGTTAATTTTAATGAGTTATTTGTGTTTAATCTTATTGTACCTATATTATCGTGTCAATTAATTAACTGAACTAATTTAGGTGGGGGGTGGGTGGGGGAGGTTTGGGTAAACTCAAGCTAGGTAAGATTCATAGTTTATGGCAAATCAAAGTTTGTTGAATGTTGATAGAGAGCATCTTTTGGAAAGCGGAGGGTTTGGTCGTCCCGTTTGTCGAACTTGTACTGAGGGTGACACCAATCTCAAGGCGATCTGATTCTCTCTCTGTGGGTATGTATGTTCTTTTTCGTGTTTCAATCTTTTAATCGAATCCACTGATATTTCACTACTAGTGTTTTTGTTTTTGCTCATCTCACACAACATTTTACACCGTTAATCTATAGGGTGTAAGGTAAATAACTGTTAGCTGATAACTGTTTTTTCGCAAAATAACTTTCTCAAAAATGAGATCGGCAGCGTTTTGAAGCAATAAGCGATTACAAAAAATTAAGGAAAAATTATACTTTTCGTCCCTAAGTTATAGGGTAATTGTAGAATTCGTACCTAAGTGTTGGTCATACTCACTTTTCGTCCCTAAGTTATCATTGATGTTGCATTTTTCGTATAACTCAAGGACGAAAAGTGAGCACGAAAGAACGAAAAGTGCAACGCCAATAATAAGTTAGGGACGAAAAATGAGCATGACCAACACTTAGAGACGAATTCTACAATTATCCTATAACTTAGGGATGAAAAATGTAATTACCCCAAAAGTTAATTAATCAAACACTTATATTGACTGTTTAACCAAGTCAAACAACTAATAATAGTCAAATAAGCCAAAATTGATTGATAAGCTAATTATGTTACCGGAAAAGGCCTATATCTAAAATCTAAAAACATAATAAGTGTAAATAAAAGTTAGATATAGGATTTATGTCCATTTTTTCCGTTAATTTTTTTTGTACGTTATGCTATAAAGGTTGTACATTAAAATATTTTGGACAAACATACCCCTACCGTTATAACTTCCGTTATCTTTTCCACTGTTGTTACCATGCACATGCATCCACCATATATTTTCTTATCTTCTTCATTAATAATAATATATACACATTAAATACTTGAATTATATGTTAATTATTATATAAATATAAATATCAAATTTATAAAAATGATTTACATTATTATTATTTAGAATAATTTAAATATTTAAAATTTAAATAAATTTAAAATTTTAATATAATATATTAATATTGGGCACCTATTTTTTGCGCATCACGCATAAAAAATACTAGTTTATCTAATGTGTGTGTGTGTGTGTGTTTTTTTTTTTTTTTGAATGCTATTGACTCTAATTTTATCTCATGTGATTTTGATTAAGCTAAAAATTATTTATTCCACTCTAACCCATTTCAATGTGAGCTAAAGATTATTTATTCCACTCTAACTCAATGTGGGTTAGCTCTGATTTGTAACTAGATACAAGCTAGTTTATAATGTGAATTAGTATCGGTGTTAATGCGAGTAAATTTTGATTTGTAACACTTGGTATAAGTATATAGTATTAATTTGCACTAGTAAAATTTTAATTACTACAAAGTATTTTTTGTATGTGTCATTCACTCTAAACATTTGAAAAGTTCTAAGATTTAGACATGATATTTGAATGATGTTAAATTTAATTTTCAAAATCACGACAAACTTGAACGTTGAAAATGATACTCATCATTGACGAAGACTGATGCAACTTTCTTGCATAAGTGTCGACACGTGTTATAAACGTAAAAAAATTATGAAACACCTTTGAAAAATCAATCGTTAGCGACTTTAAATAATTCAACGATCTAAATTCGTCGGTAACCGTGGTTATCGAGGCCAGAGACCCCATTTGCAACACATTTGGTCAGTTAATTAAAAACTCCATCCATGTGTAATAGTCTATGAGCCAAACATGAGAAGTAAATTGTACGACGAAGATCTTGTACAACAGATTCAACCAATAAGGTGCTGGTAAAAATAGAATTTGTAACTTTTTGGTACGAGAACCATGCTCTACATGTTCTCAGCCACGTATTTCGGGATTTTATAAAAGGGGTAAATGCATGCTTAAACAATGTGGAGGGAGCTAAGGAATAACTTTGTTCACTTTTGCATTCCAAGTTACCATATGGGTCAAAGATAGCTCTCTAACGCCACAACAACCAAATGCTGCTTTGATGATTGCAGAGTATCCGATTTTGATGATTCCATTCTTCTTAGCTTTCCCTTTTGATTGCCTCTTTTCTTCTTTCCAATGACCCATACCCTCTTGATCTACATCTTGTCTGCTTATATTATCTTATTTAATTCATGATTGTACAACCTTTTACCTTGTCCACTAAGTAAAACCAACCCTCTTTGAATTCCCACTTAACCAACATTTTAATTTAAACCCTACATTCCAAATATTATACAACTTAAAGATGTACTTCAAATGACAATAACTTTAAATTTGAATAACCAATTTGGTAAATCTCAAATTTAATTTGAATTAAGCAAAACCAATTTGCTCATTAATCTTATAATTAAATATTTGCTAATAACACTATGTTTTGGCATAAAAAACAAAAAATATATATGTATTATTTATCGGTGTCCTTCAAACATTTGTTTAAAGTATATACATACATACATATGTTTTATATAATTTTACTTTTGATCATACGATAATATTAATGATTTCTGTTTTAGTTCATGATTTTCAACTTAACTATATTTAATTATTAATCTTTTAAAAAATGAACACGTTTGAAATTAAAGATTAAATATGATCAAATTATCAATTGAAGATGAACTTGAAATTGTTATTATAGTTATTCAATAATATTCCTAATATATTTTTGAAATAAAATAGTCTCAACCTACTGAAACACAAAGAACCAATAACGCCTCCACTGAGGCTTAAACTCGTAACTTTCCAAATGAAAGTCCAACCCGGGTACCATTAGACCATATAGTCTTGATAACTAATTGACCAATCTATTTCTTTAATAATTACATATTAATCTTTAATAGTTTAGTGTAAGGGCATGTTTGCTCTCGAGAGAAGGTACATTTTTTTCTTTGAGAAAGAGTTATACCCTAATCTTGAGGACCTCCTCTGCCTTAAGAGACTGTGTGGATAAGATTAATCATAAAATATGCTCCAACTAGTCTATAAATTCCACATGTTTGTACATCAGTGCTCATAACATATAACTAATTTCATACTCCATCTGTCTCATTTTATATATCTTGTTTATTATTTATTAGTCAAATCAATTTTTTTTCTTTGCTAAACTTAACATTATAAAAAATTAAATTAAAAATAATTTCAGCCAAATCTCGCAAACACATAAAATGATAAAATGAGACGTATGGAGTATTTTTTTTTTTATTTTAAATTTTAATTATCTATGAGAATGGAACCTTACATCATATCGCATGCACTTCTTTTATCAACTTATTTTGAGTTGGTATTTATTTTGTTGAATGAAATACGGAGGAATAGAATTATATATGGAGATGAATATATTGGGGAGAGTGAAGCTAGGGAGGTGATGATGATGATGATGAAGAGTGGAGAACTGGAGATCGAATGAGGCAAAAATTTTGGTTTAGAGTTCACGTGAAACAAGTTAAGGGGTATGTACGGGCAGCCACTGATTGAGGGTATGCCTGAGACTGTGACTGGGTGTTAGTATGTCATATATCCATCAATCTCATTTCCTTTCCTATCGTACTCATGATGGATTGGACTGCCTTAAACCACTACCGTTTACCCCCATAATAGCTCTCCTCATTCTCACGTTCAAAAGATATCAATATCTCATCTTCATTTCGTACGTGCATGGCGGACGTGTATGCATGCACTAGATGGTCGGAAAGAATGGCATTCTCGCCGGCGGCGTGAGTTGGGAGGGCGCAGAGAGAGAGATATAGAGAGAGAGAGGAGAGAGAAGATGGAGCAGAGAAACGACAGAAGTTTAGATGTAGTATTGGGTTTGAGACACTACTGGGCACCTCGTGATCGGAGACGGCAGATCCATGGAAGACTGTACCCCCTAGTCACGTGGGCTCTTTTGACTACCTCTTTGACCACTTCTCTCCTACATTTCCATATATTATTGGAGAGATAGATAGATGCAGCCTACATACACTGTGTCTTCGTCATTAGGGTATTTCAATTCAATTCTTCTTTAATAATTTTTTTTCTTTTTTTTTTTTTTTAAGCAAAGGGTTCCTGCATATACTTTATATTAAACATAAAATTTATTCAGTCCAATCTAACTACTTAGTAAGCTAGTTAACATGCAGAAAAATCTAGTTAATCAGCTGCTAGCTTTGATAATTTTTTTAATAAAAATATGCTATTGATCTTATTGATTTAAGGTGATCAACTATTAATAACTGGTTTAAGTATATATATATATAGACGCAGTATAGGGTATTTGTATAGAGATAAGAAAGGGCGGTCCACAAGTCTCAAGTTTGAATCTCTCTGCCTTTCTCTTTCTTGCTCGCTAAATTACACGATTCTGGACCCCTCTGTCTACCTCAACTGCTGCGAAGAATCAAAAACATTTCAAGAAACCAAAAAAGAAACGAAAATGACGCTGTCGTTTGGCGACAACCTGGACTACTGCAACTGCTGACTGTTATTTCGCCATTTTATGATCATATAAAGCTACCAGACAACTCCATCTCCTTCCTTCCTCATCACCTCTCAAAACCCCAGCCCTTTCATTCTAACAACGTTAAATTATCACCAACTCAGCTCCCTCCTCCAGCCTCCATTGATTAGAAGAGGGAATCAGGGATAGATATATAGATATATAGATGATGCAGCATAGGTGTAGTAGCAGCTGCGGCCATTGTTCTTTCTGCGGCGGCGGCGCCGCTTCTTCTGCGGCTTTCTCCATGTTCTTGTCGGCTATGCCGAATAGTAATCAAACCCAATGCTACAAAACTTCTGGGTTTCACAGTGAAGAAGATGAGAACGTATATTCCTTTGCGTCGGCTCCGGCGTCGTCTGTGGATTGTACTCTTTCTTTAGCGACTCCTTCCACTCGTCGCTTCAATGAGAATGAGAAACGCGGCGAACGGCGCATGTCCAACTTTTGCAGCTGGGATATTTTGCAGCCGTCCAAGCAACCGCCGCCCTCCTCCGTGGTCGTCCATAAATCCGCCGCCGACACCGTAGTCCCTCGCCGCTGCGCTAACTGCGATACCACCTCCACTCCCCTCTGGCGAAACGGCCCTCGCGGCCCTAAGGTATTTAATATATGTATGCAAGAATGGTACGGTATTATTCCGGCCATTTCTAACAATTTGTTTACTAATTTGCAGTCGCTTTGCAACGCGTGCGGAATTCGATTCAAGAAAGAGGAGAGGAGAGCGAGCGCGGCGGCGGCGGCGACAGCGACCTGCGCCGCCGCAGGCGGAGTAGGGATTGAGGCGCAACACATGATAAATACGTCATGGGTTCATCATCACCACCACCACACGCAAGCCCAGAAAATGGGTTACTACTCGTCAGCGGCGGCGTACGGGAACGAGTTCAGGTTCATCGACGACGACCATCGCGACTCCGATGCCGCCGGCGCCATTCCCTTCATCTCATGGCGTCTCAGCAACGTCGCCGACCGGTCCAGCCTCGTTCATGACTTCACCAGATGAAAAAGCAAAACCCCGTATCCAAAAAAAAAAATTAAAAAAATAAAAAAGAAGAAAGAAGAAAGAACGAACAATGTTCAAACTCCTGGAAAATCTATGGCGCATGAATTGATTCTATTTGTTCACTGTTACTTCTTTTAGTTTTGGTTCTTTTTGGACCGTTGTTCAGGGATGAAGTGAAAATGAGCTAATTCTATGATAGATCGAGCTTGGCATTGTCGCTTTACTTTTTCTCTTTTAGCAGTCAAGATCAAGTTAGATGCACTTCTTTAACTTTTCACTTTTATGACGTCTATATATTTGTCTGTGACATAATCTACCACCAATCCTAAATCTCTCCATCTTCATTTTTCCCTTTATTCTCCATCCCGGGTTCCACTGTCACTCGAAATAATATCTATCTAGTAAGTAAAGACGCAAGATCAAGCTTTGATAGTCACATTATAGTGCTACACTTAATGTGATGGACACCTTATATTGGTCACATACAGAACCAAAGTGTGGGCTAGAGATTTAGCTAGCACAATCGAATCGGATCCCTTTTACCTTCTGAAAAGGGATATTTGTACAAGCTAAGAACACTATGTATTCGAGAGGAAACTAATTCCTATGATTTCCTTATTATGAAAATTCTTATTAAGTAATTGACTATCTTACCAACTGGGTCCGTTCTAGTGTTCAACTCCAAGCCGATCAATTAGGCCTTAGTGCCCTATCCATCATTCTTCTTCCAAATACTGCTTATTAAACGTTAAGCCTGTCCGGGCATATGGTTTATTGAGAATAGGAGGTCTGAAATGTGGGGAGGTCTGAAATGTTTTGATTTCCGATGTGCAGATGAACGTTACGTTACTGATGGTTGATGATTGTATTATCCGTAGTTACGTTGTTCCAAAGTCGGTTTCATATGATTCTGGGCCAGATCAGAGGAATTAAATTCCCACTGACGCTTCAACAATGCTGATCAGTCTTTGATGTACTCTGTGTTTTTCATTGGGAGGGATAAGGTTTTCAGTAACGTTGCCACTGTTTAAGCTCACCATTCTTTCTTTTTCTGGTAACTTTTTGTTTTCCCTTTGTTTTTTGGTGCACAGCTGTCTCACCAGGAAGATAAAGTTCCAATCAAGCCTACACCAATAAATAGTTGATTCCTTGGTGGTAGATTGTATGTAAGAACACATGATCAAACTATGATGTGCACCGGACATTGGTCCTCCAACTTAATTATGGCGTTGCTGAGCCCGGCTTGAACGGACATAGCTCACTAGTTCAGTAAGAGAGAAGAAATTAAAGTTCGAACCTTAGCAGTCACAATGTAGGAATTATGTTTAAAGTGGACAGATTCCTTATGCGCACCGACATTTGGTATATATACTGAACCATTGAGTTACAGTGATTTACATCCTACCAAATGTTTTGTTGAGTCGGGGTATAAGAACCTTTGAGATTAAAGATTCAACCTTTTAGGAGAAGAATTGTTGAGCCGTGATTTACCTCTTCACTATTTTGTCAAGTCAAGATCTAACCCAAGAACCAATAAAATTTCGACTCCTATAGGCAAGATAAAGTTCAATCAAGGTTTTTTTTTTTTTTTTTTTAATAAAAAAAATTAATTAATTATGAAATATATTAATTAAATTTTAAAGAGGGGAAAAGATTTATAAAGCCCAATATTTATCATATATTTCCAGTTTAAGGGGCAAGGTTAGCCCATATTACGTGAAGCCTATTATTTGTATGGGCTGGGCGGGTAAGGTTTAGCAATTGGCCCAAGTGGGATGAATTGTGAGAAGCTGCTTTATTTTTTATGTTAGGCCATTTGAGGTTAATGTTGAAATGAGTTTTGGAGCTATTACATTGTTAGGATAAAGGTTTTTGTTTTGTTGTTCTTGAGTGCAAGTCCTTGCCGGTTGTAAAAAAGGTGAAGTATGCCTCCCATTTAAGAGACCATCTCATTATCATTTTCTCAAAACTATTATAACAGTTTTGAGGCGATACACAACATGTTTTTTAAGACACATTCATAAGGAATCTAATTCTTGCATAGGCTTAATGGCAATATAACATATCATGATTGCTCTAGAATAATAATAATCAAAATAGTATTAACTAATTCAATAATTTGGGACAGTTAGCAAGCGGACGATGTTGAAAAAAATAGCTTAAAATGACATAAAATGGCATTATAAGTGGCTATTTTGTGGTACAATTATTAGTGTGGTCCACTTCCGATTTGGGTCGGATTAAAGTGGATTTGGGTTCTTTGTAGTGAGACGAAAAAATTGATATATTGTACGCTCAAAATGGATAATGGGTGAATGAGAAATTGATTCTCAAAGTAGACCCATTTGAGTTGAAAAAATGAAGGTGAAAAAAAGAAGTTATTGCCCCACATTGGTTTGGGAAGTGGATTTGCACCACTATTATACAACAACAGTTTTAAGGTTTATTGAATTGTATAGTATAAAAATTCTTTCTCATGAGCAAAGGATGCAAATCAAATCCCAAATTGGCTATATCCAATTCTGAGGTGCACTAAATTCGGCAAATTATTGTATGTGAACCATAACAAAAACTACATTTTTAATATACTAAATGTACATTATTTTTGTACTGAATGTACATTATACAATATAATGTATACTCGGTACAAAAATAATGTACATTGTTTGTATTGAATGTACATTATATTACAGTATAAAAAATATGGTCCACACAATAATGATTGAAATCAATCATTGTGGCAATGGTTGGTTCGGCGTGTATACAATACGTGCTGATGGCTCGACCCAGGCAGAATCGGCCAGGCCAACCATCACATCGTGCTGGGTTGACGAGCTGTGATTCGGCCAGGCCAACCAACATGAGCATCATGGCAATGGTTCGGCATGTATACAACACGTGCTGATGGCTCAGCCCAGGCAGAATCGTCCGGGCAACCATCACCTCGTGCTGGGTTGACGAGTCGTGACTCAGCCAGGCCAACCAACACGAGTTGATGTCGTGGTTCGATTTGGTCAACCGGAGTCGTTGTCGGCTTAGGACGAATCGATGGTTCTGGCAGCGACCGTTCTAGTATTAAATTTCATCAGTTACGAAATTAATTCGGTCAGGCCAACCAACATGAGTTGATGTCATGGTTCGGTTCGGCCAACCATGATCCGGAAAATTGGCTAGCCTTGCGGGCTAAGTTATTTCCAACACAGAAGCTACTAGATTCAGCCAAGGCAGAATCAATCAACCTGGCAATGGTTCGGCGTGTATACAACACGTGTTGATGGCTCGGCCTAGGCAGAATCGTTCGGCCAACCATCACCTCGTGTTGGTTTGACGAGCTATGATTCGGCCAGGCCAACCAACACGAGTTGATGTCATGGTTCGGTTCAGCCAACCAGAGTCGTTGTCGGCTTATGACGAATCGATGGTTCTGGCAGCGACCGTTCTAGGATTAAATTTCATCAGTTATAGAATTAATTTTGAATTAATTTTGAATTAATTTTGAATTAAATCTAATTTTAAATTTCGATTTTAAATCTTAGGTAATGACCTGCTGTTTCAGGAGTTACAAGCTGATTTTATATCAGTTTTAAATACCATCCTAAATGTTATTCATTCCTTCAACCACTATATAAGTAGTGGTAAAGCAGAAGGTAGGCTTTTTGACCACCAAAAAAAAAACAAAAAAATCTCTCTCAAAATTTTGCTTCTACTCCTTACTAGCCTACTGTGTTCTTACTTTGCTCTAGTTCGTCAGGTTCTTTGTTTGGGTGCTAAAACAATTGAACCGTAGTACGTTTTATCCTAGAAAATCTAGGCTACAATGCTCCTAACACTTTTAAGAGGTAGCAAATAAGGTTTTAAGAAAAGAATGATTCGCTCAATTCGTGCTAACCACCTACACTGTACCCACCGTAACCATTCGTCCTTCCCAGTTTTTTCCATATAATAAAAATAATCCTTTTTTTGTAGGATTATTATTGGGTTTTTTCCGACCTTCTTTCCTACAGACGACTAATACAAAATTGAAGATTTGACTTATGTATGTATGTGTTACTTTAAAGTACGTACTTGACTAGCTAGACATTTCTTCTAATAAGAGTTAAACATTGCATGTCATAATTTGAATCAAATCCAAATTAATCCCCAAAGCGATAGAAATATCAAATGTCGTATAAAGAAATAACATTCACTTTGTAATATATTTTTATCGTTGAATAAAGTCCAAATTAGTCACTGAACGTATCTGAAAGTGTAATTAGATCACTTAATAAAAAAAAAAAAAATACAAAAATACAATTAGACCACTAAATACCCCAAATGCAAGTAATTTTACCATCTATTGCTTTCTTACGTGGATGGTGAGTTAGCATTTTAAATAATTTTAATAATAAATATTATATTTTTTTTTTTAAAAAAAAAAGATCAGGGTGGCTGGCTCTAACCGTAGACGAAGGAGGAGGGAGAATTGGGAATGGACATGTTTGGTTATTGGCAAATTCATCAAAATTTTGACAAATCTATCAACTTTGACATTTTGAGCTGCCTCAAACCGCTGAAAGCAACGAATTGCTCCAAACCTGAAATGCAACACGCTGCATTTAGCAGCCTGTTGGGTCAGCGTTTTGGGGAAGGAAAATGCCTTCCCAAAACACCCTCCAATATTATATAAAAAATATATTTATGTTATGTTTTGAAGCTTGATGCTTCTTTAAATATAGAAGCCTCAGGCTTCTCCTCTCTTACCCATCCGATGTGGGATGGGCAAGAGGTGAATTAATCTAAATGGGTGTTGAGCTCCCTTTTATAAGGGAGCCAACGCCCCTGTTTTTCTATTTCTTTCGATGTGGGATTAGTGGGATTCTAATCGCACATCTTCTTTGTTTTTTTTTTTTTTGTTTTTATTATTATTATTATTATTATTATTATTATTATTATTATTGTTATTATTATTATTGTTATTATTATTATTATATGTATACCCTTTTGGTCATTTTACATGTTAACCGTTAATTTTACCAAACATCATTTTACAAATCGCTGATACAATCCGCTGGTCAAACACGCTAACACAATCCGTTATTTGTTAACCGTTAATACAATCCGCTACCGCTAACCGTTGATTGCTAAACAAGTCCAATATATCAATGAACTTGCATCTGTAATCCCAATGACAAATGAATCCATAAGAACAACACT